GAAAGAAAGAAAGAAAGAAAGAAAGAAAGAAAGAAAGAAAGAAAGAAAGAAAGAAAGAAAGAAAGAAAGAGAAAGAAAGCAGCAGCAGCTTTAAAATGCACCACAAAATGAATGACTCTCTAGGCATGATGAGGACTGAAAGAATATGTCCTCTGTGTTCAGTTTTGCAAACATAATCCTATGTAATGTATTACAATGTACACTTGAAAAACAATGGGCTTTTAGTTAATCACAGATACAGTTATAATACTTCAGTATATACTCTGCAGTATTTATTCAGAACATAAATGTGTTTTCACAAAAACTGCTTTTTTAAAGATGGAAAAATACAACTTTTTACGGCAGCTGACATTTTATTGACCAGAACACATTTTCTGAAATCAGAACTACTTCTCACAAATCACAAGTTTTGGCAAAAAATATGACATTAGGTTACAGCAATATAAGTTCAGTTTTCCCAACTGCAAGTTCATTCAGAAGGATTAGAAAAGTAGCATGTCCGTAATCAGGGTTTGGTTGTATGAAGATGGTTAGTAATGGAAGGATGGGAAACTATAAAATCACAAAAAGTAATAGGATGGATAACTCTCTTATTCACATGCCTTTCATTTGGAAATCTGAAAAGATTCTCATGCTCTTATTACTATTTTTCCTGTTTTGATTGGCTTAAAATAACTTTAGCATTTACTGTATGCAGTTTCCTCGATAACAAACATTATGAATGTGTTCTGTGAGAGTAAATATCTTGAAAAAATATTACCACAGAAATAATAATCTGTTAAAAGATATAAGGTTCATTTGTAACAGTTGTCAGTACTAAAACCCTTCCACATGAAACACCTTTTAAGAAAAAGCTTTGTACTGATTATGTGGGAAGTAATTTGGCAAACACAACCTGTTATGCTCTGAGGTTCAAGGTTTCTGCAGAATTGGAATTGGAAATAGCTGTGGCTTGTGTTGAGTTACTCAACCATCCTTTGTCCCTTTTCAGTGTGTACATTTGTAAACAGTTTTTCCATATCTATCTATCTCTATCTCTATCTATCTCTATCTGTCTATCTCTGCCAAATATTTTGTGACTCCTCAAACTTTCTAGTTTGGAAAAGAAAAGAACAATAGAAATAGAATACTAACCTGACTTCTGGAGGCCTAGAAAATAAAGACTGCAGTCTTACCCAAGTTCTGGATGTCATGATGTCTTTTCATTGTGGGGTGGAAAATAATTTTTTCATGTTTGGAAAACAAAGGGCTAATGCTGTTTGATATAGGCTAATTATTATTGTGTTTCTCCTTTGCCAAGTCTCAGATATACTGCAGCTTCATGTATCAGTCCATTCTGGATTGAAACCACAAGAAGAAGTTGGGGCTAGGAAGAAATTCTCTACTGAATCAAACTGAACAATGGAAAAAAGTAGCCTTGGGGGATTATGCATTTCTTGTTTTTAGATGATTCTAAAAGTTCACATTCAACCTTATATTTCTAAAACAGATCATGTCCAAGGAGGGAGAAAATGATTTTATGAAGTCACTCATTCCACCCAATCAGAACTGTACACAAATGGTTTTTATTGCAAACTTGAAGAACTGGTTTCCCCTGAACTCAGTGTAGGACTGAACGTAGTATCTGAACAAAATGCTGAGAATGCACTCAAAAACAGAGTGTGGGTGACTGTGCAAATGATAATGGAGTCTTCTTGCAGCTTAACAACTAGCATAAATTTAATGGAGTCAAAATCTATTTAACTGGATGCATGGAGTATAATCCTGGGAGAGTAATTTATATGCCCCATGGGTTCTGAGTGGGGAAACAAAGCCAACCCCAAAGTTAGGGCAACAGCAATCAGTATTCTTGCACCCCACGTTGCCAGTGCTGCAGAAAGTCAATACCAATTCAGCTGGCTTTTGTACAAGCAGTGAAAGAAGCATCAGTTTTTGTTGTTTCTTAGTCTGACTTGGGCCCATGAAATTAAAGAGGAATAAAATGTAGAAGTTGGACACAGTGACAGTGATTTCAAGGAACTAGTATCATAAAAAAATAAGCTTCATGGTGTCCAAAGATTTTTTGCAACTGACTAATATCTTATTCCCACTGGAAAATGAAATTCTTCCTCACTGGAGCAGACTTTGTTAGCAAAAGGCCTCTCCCTGTTCTGAACATAATGTTCATTAACTACAGGAGACATGATTGATGCCTGTGTAAACTTTTCTTGAAATCATCTAAAAACGTGAACTGTATAATCCTGCAAGTCTACTTTTTTCCATTGCTCAGTTTCATTAAGTCAGAGAATTTCTCCCTAGCCCCAACTTCCTCTTGTGGTTTAAATCCAGAATGGACTGATATATGAAGCTATATCTGAATTCTTGAGCAAAAAGGTTTCATTTATTTCTGTTCCCTTTTCATAACAGTTCAAAGTGTTTTGTACATAGGCAAGGAAAACATGTTAAAACATGCTTGATCAAAAACTCCACTCAAATAATAAATATTGATTTATGTAATATTACATCTATATCCCACTGTTTCTCTGGGAGTTCAGTGGGTCTCATGGAAGTCTCTCCTCATTTTATTCCTAAGAAGTAGGTTGAGCTAAGAGTTAGTGACGGGCTCATTGTCCTCCAGTTAGCACTATCTCTGTGTAAGCTTCAACCTGAATTTCCTTTGTTGCCTTCCAACACCTTAATTACTATACCCCCCTGGGTACTTTTTGACTCCTGACGATGGCTTGGACTAGTCTCCCTGCAGTTTTCTTGGCAAGACTTTTGGAAATGGTTTGCCATTGCCTGCTTCCTAGGGCTAAAAGAGAATGACTAGCCCAAGGTCACCCAGCTGGCTTTGTGCCTAAGGTGGGACCAGAACTCATGGTCTCCCAGGTTCTAGACTGGTGCCTTAACCACTACACCAAACTGGCTCTCTCTTGACTAGACTGAGAAGTTGTAAAACTTCATCCTGAAAAAATAGCAAACCTCTGCTATATTGTCCTTAAGGATACTACATGGAGGCAGTCATCACAAGCATAACCCAAGGGAGATCTTAATCCATGGGAAAAACAAAAGAAAGGGGAACTTGGAGGGAGCTCTTTTATTAAAGGTGATGGAACAATATGTTTATCCTTCTGTCTGCCTACTTAGACTATATTTCTATGGACAAGTTTTCTTGTATAAGCTTAGAGTGACAAATTGTGGTGGAATGGATAAAACCAAAGCTTTCCATAGAAATACACGCAGAACAAAGGTCTTTCTCGTGGCAGTTTCAGTCTGGTAGTGGTAGTAACTGCATGTGAAAGATGGGTTCAAAAGTGTGTGAATGGGGGGCTCAGAATTCTGGAAACTAGGCTGAATTCCCCCAGCGGTAGATTTGGCTCTTTGTTATGGATAATAATAGAACAAGGGCTCAGTCATGTCCAAACAAGGGAAGTATGGAATTATTAGTATTTTTTTAAAGGAGCCATACAAAATAATAACTGCAAAACAAACATAAAAACTGGGCTGAAGACCAGGCATATTACTGTACTGTCTTGAAAAATGCGAAGGACTGTTCCTAAGGCCACATAATTGCCTGAGAGGTCCCCAACAATTATGCTATGTACTTAAAATTCTGTCAGTAGCTGTTGACTGCTGTAAAAAGCAGCTAATGCCATTAGAAGCCCACGGGGGGGGGGGGGGACTGAAATGAGGGAGTAGCAAAATGCAAAATTGTAGGCTTAATGAAACATTTTGTGAAAAAATATAAAGCAGAGAGTTGCTTTCATTAATAAATGCATTGAGTAAATTATCTATTCAAGAATGACTATTTGAAAGGGTGTTTTTGTGTTTCTAGTATTATAGGTCAAATTGTTGTCTACATTATATCCTGTATAAGACGTTTGACTGAAACACTAGAAACAAAACTGTGAGTGATACATTTTCCAGATGTGGGATTCTTAAACAGAAGGAGGCTCATATTCTGGTGGTAGAAGGTCCAGGAGTCTGGTTAGACTTTTACTAGTGGGTCTTGCAGAAAAAAAAGGAAGCACAGGACTTATTGATCAGATGTATTTGACAGATGTATTTTGGGTATCTCCATAGCATCAAAGACTTGGAAGTGATCAAGATTTGTTTTGGATGTATAGCTCTGAGCACACATAGTGAAGTAGCCCCATCCTAATTTGTGTGTGTGTGTGTGTGTGTAAAAGCAATTCCATGTCCTGTTACAAATTATTCAATGATTCTATAACTAGAAAGGCTTCCTGAGCAGGTCCCAAGTCATGGTCAGAATTATACGGCAACAACACTCTCTTAAGTAATTAGCCATGACTTCTTAAACAGTTCCTAAGTCACTGTATTTAAGGATTTGTGCATTAAAAATAAATACACCTTCAGTTAGAACCAGCATGAGAACAAGGCAGCCAGCACAGTTTTTTAAGGATTGGCTTATTGTGGTCTTCAAAATTTGCAATTGCATCTTGTACAAACTGCAGGCTGAAAAATATCTTCAAGAACAATCCAACATGGATCTATAGTCTAACTGGGAGGTTAGAAGATCATGAATTACTTCTGTGGATAGGCTCTCCTTGTTCAAGAATGACTGTAGCCACTGAACCACATGGAGCTGGAAGTAGACATCGTGTGCCCACTGACAACCAAAGAGTGATCCATGAAAGTACAGCTGCTCCTTCAGAGGGACTGTGATCCCATTCAGATCAAGCTTCCTTCTAAACCTTATCAAAATCAATGCTGTTTTTGATAACCAGGGGGTCACTTCTATTTCAGGCTTTAGAGGAGTGTTTTTCAAACTTGGCAACTTTAAGATATGTGCACTTCAACTCCCAGAATTCTGCAGCCAGCATGGCTGGGGAATTCTGAGAGTTGAAATCCACAT